AAAAAAAAGGAAAGGTATTTAATCCTCGACTAGAGCCATACAGCACTAGCTGGCTCCATCCGGGAGAAACTTTCAGTCGGAGTAGCAGCCCTTAACCCTGGCACCAACACTTGAACCCAAATGAATTCCTGAACCAACCCCCGGTCCTACGAATGGGCCCACCGCCAGGAAAGAGGCCAAAGCAATGAAGACGGCAACTGCCAACCTCAGATGAAGCGCTTCCTAAACCCTAAACCCTGTACACGATGCATGGGGCTTAGGGCATTAGTATAAGATTCAGAAAACTAATTAGGAACAATATTGCTCTATCGTCCCAATAACCAAAAACATGCACCATAAGAACATTCTATTTACGGCTCCTATGTTACTCACTCTTTGAAAGTCTCAATGTTCGGTGCAAGGCTTGGCATCTGACTCTCTGACCTTTGAACCCGGAAAGGTCGAGGGAACAGCGGCGGGGAGGGGACGTCTAGGAGGAGGGTTTGTAGGGTTTAGGGTTATAGGGGTTAGGGCTTTGGGGACGAGGGGTGTGGCGGGCGAGCAAGGGAATTGCATCACAATCATTGGGAGCTTCTGACAGCATCGGGCCCTTGTATAGAAACCTAAATGATGGGATCCCTGTCCCCCAAAACCCGAAGGGGACCAGTCATTCGATCTTGAAACGCAGCACAGGTGGCAGAGGTGGGGCCTTCTGCGGACGGAAATTGTCCAAGACTTCTGCATTCAGACCGCCAAAATAACCTGCAGCAGGTCAAAAGCTAAAGCGACTGAACCCAACTTTCCATTCGCGGGGTTCTGGGCTCGTCGTGGCCTTTTGGGTTTTGGCATTTGGCCACAAACTGTTTCGAGCTTTAGCTAGCCAACCAACCACAAGACTGGGAGTTGAGAGCGTCTTCATCCACGATGATATTCGAGAGTTTTGGGTTTCATTGGAGTGTAGTGGCTGTAGTGGCGAATTCGAATTCTAGCGAGATTATCATTGTCCGAGTTGTCTGTCGCAGTGTAATCTCATCCCGCCTCAAGCGCTGAAGCCGCAGTCCCGCCAGAACCCTTTGAACTCCAAATCCAAAATAAACTCTCCGGTAGACCCGTGAACAAAGGCAAAGCAAGCGCCCATGTACGTTTGCAGTGCTGTCTGGGAATTGGATTGCTGAGTTTCGGGTTTTCGGGATTAGGGTGCAGGGCCTTTCCGGGATTTAGGATTTACTCTTCAGCTTTGGGTGGCTTCATAAGGCATGCAAGGCTTCGGGCTTGGGCCTAGGATTCGGAAGCATGGGGAGACTGCCAGCCAGGGAGCCAATCACCCCGTGGGCAAGGCCGTGGAGCATCGTAAATACCGACACCTGTGCAACCGCCACATGCAGCAAAGGAGCCTTTATAATTAGGGGCTAGGGCGTTCCTACGAACAGGTACATGGGAACTAGACGAGAACAGCATTATTTAGCATGACAGCCCCCGCACTCATCCTCATCGCTGCTCCATGAGACTCTTCGAACCTCGAAAACGAACTAGCAAGCTTCTTGCCTTTCGAGCCTAACGGTTTAGGGTTTCGGGTTTAGGGCTAATAAAAACAAGCTAAGCCCCGCACTCTACGTTTGTCTGAAACCCAAAAACCCCTTAGGGGAGCCTAATCCTTGCAAGCTGAAGACCCAACAACTAAAGCCCGATGCTCAAAAGCAACTACGAGTCATGAAGAAGAAGCCTGAACAATCAGTAATGCTACTACTTGTTGTTCTACTACATCAATACTCCAGTTAATATGCCTCGAAACTCTGTTCTGATGATCAGGGCTCGTACAAGAAACCCTTATAGTAACAGACCGGTTGAAGGAAATCTGGAAGGAATCTTACACTAGACTAAGTATTAGAAAGGCAACCATGAACCCTATAAACCCTATAGCCTAAGTATGAAACGAGTCAAGAGCAAAGGAGCAGCCGCGGCGAGTTGCAGGGGAATCGCCTCTGGGCCTTCTCGATAGTCCCAGTTGTTTAGGATGTTAGGGATTTAGCGTGGGTGGGTTTAGGGTTCAGGGTTTAGGATGGGGGCTTTGGGGGTTATACCACTCAGGGAGCGTAGGGTGTTCAGGACTTGGGGTTCTGTGTTTAGGATTTTGGAAGGCGATAAACCCTAACTATCCGTACCAAGGAGCAACGGGTACCATTTTGGGAGGATGTACAAGCAGATCCAAGCCGTTCTACTTTCAGGGTCATGTCACTCTGAAGTTTAGAAACACCCGCCTAAATCCTAAACCCTCAGCCCAAAAACCGGTTATAGCCCCCGACCCCAAACCTAGACTCAGACCTAAACACCTAAACGCCAGACCCCAGAAGGTCTTGTTGTTTTGCCTGAGGGCTACGACATTCGTCCAGAGCTGCAGTGGGATTTGGGGCTTCTGCGCTCGTGCCCACATCTCGGGTTTTGGGGTTTAATATATAGGGGCCTGAATAATTAGAATGGGGTTTGGGGCCCACTATACTATACATTATAATAAGGAACCCCCAAAACAGTATAGGTTATTATTTAGGCTCCTATAGTAAGGCAGTCGGGTTTCAGTGTTCAGGGCGAGAGGAGACCCGGGTTCAGAGCTTATAGGGCTTGAGGGTTAAGAGTTTAGGTTTTTTAGGGCTTAATTAGGGTTTGAGGGCTGGGGGGTTAGGGCATGGGCAGCCCAGGATTTTGATGGCTTTGAGTTGAGGGCTTCGAGGTTTGGATTTTGCGGGTTTGAGGGTTCGATTTTGGGGGGTTTGGGGCTTAACACGGCTTCTACAAAGAAAGATGGAGCAACGTGACGACCGACGCAAAGAGTATCCGGTGCGTTTTGCGAGGGCTCCCTAGTCATGTAGGGGTTGTAACACGTCAGATGAGGTTTGGGATATTATATATTGCTCACTACCTTTTTATTTGACCCTCATATTGCGCCACACTGCCACGCTAGCTAGCAACGGAACTCCAGCATTTAAGGCTCAGGACCTAAAGGATCTACGGTTCAAGGTTTTAGGGCTTGCCAACCCATTCCAACGGATTGGTCTGCGCAAAACAGCAGAAAACCCAGACCCTAAATCGCACGGCGGTCCTGTTGTGGATTTCAATACTGCAGCATTCCAGCGTAGCAGCAGGAAACCACCAACGATGTCGAAGATCGCAGAGAGACCATGGCTGGTGAAAACAAGTCCTCCAAAAGGGCGTCGCGATTTCAGATTAAGGTTTCCGGCTTGGGGCCTGCGGCATTTGGCATTGACGGTGTGGGGCATTGGGCCAAGATCGTGGTCTCCGTGGGGCGGGACTCAAATTCTCATCATTGTGCGATGTGTTCTGCGGGGCTCCATGGTGGTGCGCATGTTGGACTGCTACGGTGCCTTGGAGCCCCGTTTTCTACACAGTGCCTATATTCCCACATGACAGTAACCTACCATAATAGGTGTATACGTGGGCTCTTGGGGTACTGCGCTGGAAAGGTTCGGCGGTCATATGGATCTTGGGTGTGTGACATAGTACTTCAAGCAATGGTGTTGGGGCGTTCCAGCGCAAAAGTTTGGGTACCTAAAGGGGATGCGTTTAGATTTCTTCAAGCGTCTATAGGGCAGCGACGCACTGCCATGAATAGCGTGCCTTGGCAAGCAAAAAGCGGAGAACTAGGTAGCTCTAGATAAGCTAATTTGCAATTCGGGGGCATTCGCGAATGAGAAGTTCGGTCTGAGAGCTGCAGCCGAACAAACAAATCCATGCATTGTGAGCATACGGCCTGGATGAGCGGGTCTTGTACCGCTAGTTATGACTTCACGAAACCAACGTCCGTAATCAGTCCCGGAAGAATGGTTGATAAAACTGCGAAGCCTGGAGAGTCCACTGCAGTAGTATCAGTGTATAGTATCTGCATGATTTCAAGCTTTGCATGGTCCAGGGATTAGGGTTTAGGGTGTGTCAAGTATTGGTTTGGGTTTAGGCTTTAGGAATTTCGGTTTGGGTCTTGCGGGTCGAGACTTTGGGGTTTATAGCACTTATCCGGCAGCCCGGATGTACTCGTACTCGGTGGTAAACTCATTCCTCTGTGAAGTCCCGTGTATGTGTATATGTGTGTAAACTCTTACACATACATTCATGCATGCATTCATTCATTCGTACGTTCATACACATGAGTACATACATACATATATATATATATATGTATAAATACAACCATAAACATGTACAATACGCACACATATACATACACACACAAAAAGGCACGGTCCAGGCATGCCCTGATCGGCCATGTGCATTGTCAAGGACTTGCCGGTGAGTCAACCCTTCAACTCAAGCCGGCGGAATGGCAGTCCTGCGTCGAAGACCTCGAAGCGACTTTGGCAGAAGCCATTTTGGTACCTGGTTCGGGGCTTAGGGTTCAGGGTTCAGGGTTTCAGGTTCGAGTTGAGGTTTTAGGGTCCGCTCGAGCCTACGAACCGAACCCCAGCAGCCCCACAAAATGGGGCCCCCAGTAGACCGGCCGTAGAAACTCCAAGCATGTCTGTAAACAACAAAACAGCAATGATAATATGAAGAGCACTAACCAAGTCATACAAAATAACACCAGTCCAAATCGTCATAGCAATCAGAATAGTGAACTGACAGCGAACGAATCTTCAAGGGGCCAGCTGTCAGAGCTGAAGCGGCTGGCGGGAGCTGATGTCACGTCGTGGAGCACCTCGACTGTCTAGGGTATAGGGTTTAGGATGGTTTCGGGTTTAGGATCATAGCGTTTAAGACTTCCAGGGCTAAAGGCTGCGTTTCGGGAGAAGGGGTGCGTTTCACGTGTCGGGTGTCGAGCTCAAAGTTTAGGGTTCTTAGGACAATTCGCACCCGAAAGCCTCGAATCCTTCCCCCCCACCCCGCCCGCCTTCCCCGCCCCTCCGAGACAAGCGCAATGAAACCGTGTGGGGTTCTGGCCGATATTCACAAACGATATCTATATATATATATATATATACATACCACTACAGTATTCCTCCAGATCCTAACTTCTGCTGACGTCCCATGTCCCATGGAGGACCCTTCTCAGCGCCGGCGCTACAACGCAGTAGACGGCCGTGAGCAGCGCGGTGAGTGCTTCGCAGGTGATGCAGATGGCCGCCAAGCGCATGGCCGGGTTTCTATATTTAGGGTAGGGTCTTGGGTGTCTTACAAGCTTATACATAGGGCTCAGGGATTCAGGATCAGTTAAACTACTCGGAAGGCAACCTTGGCCCACAGTTCTCAGTTTGACTATCCTAAACCCTAAATCCGAAATCTAAAACCCTAAACCCAACTCTTGTACCAAAACCGGACCTTGGGGCGCGCGGGGGTCCTTGGTTGTAGGTTTGTTGGCTGTGGCCTGAGGAATCATTTAGGGTTTAGGGTTTAGGGCGGGGTGTAGGGTTTAGGGTTAGATATTGAAAAGCTGGGTGTACATTGCCTCGAGCCGGGACATAATCGTACAGCCACATCACCTCGACAAAACCATTCGATGTTACTACCACCCTAGACTAGACAAGTACCTAACTATACGGTATCGTGGACCCTTGAAGTGCCGTGCTGGGATTGGCAGAAAAGCGGGTCACATTTTATACTGTACTTCGCCATGCTGCACCAAACTCTATCCTTCCCCTGCCACTCCTGCTAACGCTGCTGTTGATACTACTACTACTACTACTACTACTACTACTACTACTACTCCTGCTGCTGCTGCTGCTGCTGCTGCTGCTGCTGCTGCTGCTGCTGCTGCTGCTTGTGCTACTGCTACTACTACTACTACTACTACTACTACTACTACTATACTACTACTACTACTACTACTACTACTACTACTACTACTGCCACTGCAACTACTACT